AATCCACTGGGTCCTTTCAGAGCACTTACTACCATTCAAAATCATCTAATTGTTGGAGATGAATAATTAAAATTACTTTTTTAAAGCAAACTAGATTTCACAAATGTAACTTCTTGGGAAAGGTATATGTTACCAATAAAACTGTCTTTCAAAATGTAATTTGTACCCAAATGTCTTCTTCAGCTACAAACAAGCAGAAAATTTACCCAAAACTATAAAGGTTATGAGTTATACAAATGTATACTTAATGACATTTTGGAGGCTTTTTGCTGTCATTTTCAGGACGAGAATAAGCAAACTCAAAACTTTTTTGAAAGTACCTTGTGATGGCTGAAAAAATATTTCCGTTTCCTTTTTCTCCACATCTTCCTTATGTCGTTTATATCCTATAATGAAATCTTCTTGAAACACGTGAAGCAGCTGTGTATTTGAGCCACACTACATTAAAAAAAAAAAAAGAACAAGAAGAGTTTTACTTTTGAAATTCCCTGCCTTCTACTAGCTACCTCTCCAAGAAAGGGGAAAAAATCTTTTTTCTGGCAATTTCTATTCTTTACCAATTAACAAATTAGAAAAGAAGATGGAACAGGAAAAAAAAAGTATTCAAATTTCCCTGAACAGAGAGCACTGCGGGGGATTCAGTTAAAAAAAAAAAAAGCAAACCACCAGAATTACTTCTCCAAAATAAGCTACGAAACATAGTTAAATATGAGGTAGCAACTAAGTCCACATGAGAAGCACACCAGCCTGTGTGATCCAAGAACTGTAAATAATAAAACCCAAATCTGCATGAGGGAATTGTTTCAGGGCTTATATTGTGAACACCCGATTTAGAGAAGGCTGTGGATGACAGTGGAAGCTGTCACTCATTTGCAGGGTCCATATATGAATTAAGCCTCTGAGAATCCCCTCTGATCATAGTTGAGGGACTTGAACAGCCTTGGTAGAGAGCACTGTAAAGTCAGTTATGGCAGACGTAGGTTAAAAATGAAATAGCTTATCATTTGATCTCCCTTTTGACCCATTTTAAAGTTGTTTTCGGCTTGAAAAAGGGGGAGAGGGGGCTACACGTGGATTAAGCCTCTGGGGAACCCCCCGGACCACAGACTAGGATGTGAACAGCCTTGCTATTATGCAGAATGCGCTGCAAAGTTGATTACTGAAGGTGCAATTAGGGTAAAATTTAATGCCTTATTATTGGACCTCCCTTTTGATCCATTTTAAATTTCTTCTAGTTTTTAATATTTTCTGTTTCCTTTTCTATTGGGGGTTTTCTCTGCTTTACTTTGTTATTCATATTAGTTTTCAGGTTTTGTTTTATGTGTTGTTTATAAATGTTTTTCAGTATATGAAATCCAAGATGGGCAAATCTATAGAGACAGTAGCTGGATTAATGGTTTGTTGGGGGTGTGGCAAGGGAAGTTGGTGGGAAACGGAGAGCTAATAATCAATATAAGAATAAAGAAAATGTTCTAAAATTGATTGCGGTGATGACTGTACAATTATTGTTTTGATTCAACCATTTCATTGTCTTATATGTAAATTATATGCCAACAAAACTTTTTTTCAAAAAATACAAATACAAAATAAAACATAAGTTAAATAACCTGCACCACTTTGATCCAAAAAAGCATCAAGTTTTACGACCAGTTTGGGAGAGCTATGCCAAAAAAACTAACTATGTAAGGCACATCAGTGCAGGACTCTTCATTTTTCAATTCCAGATAAGAACCAAAACAAAGAAGAGTCTTCAAGAATCTTACAATAGCCAATGGGATAGTCCATCTCTGGAGAAACATATTTACAAGTAAACAACTAGAATTTCTAGGGAATTGGGTGAACCATGACGGGCAACTGCTAGAGTTCATGATCATATTTTCAGACCACAAAGAAAAGTAAAGACCATCACAAATGACTACTTAGAGCCACAAGCCTTATGAGAAATTCAAAAAAGGGCTAGATCCAAATAAAGACTGATTATGGAAATGTGTAAAGACAAATTAGATGTCTGCTATTGCACTGATTTCCAAGGAAAATAAGCAGCATTCATGATCTTGGCACTGAATGGTGTGTGTGTGTGTGTGTGTGTGTGTGTGTGTGTGTGTGTGTGTGTGTAAAAGAAAGAGAATCTTTGAGAAAAATAAAAAATGAGCTTCTTTACATAGTTGAAAAAAAATTAAGAGGGATTTTTAAGTCTCCAGTAGAAATAAAACCTATCTTCACATTTTCAATGTACGATGCCAACTC